AAAAAAAAAAAAAAAAAAGCAAAAACGACTATATGTCCGGTTGAAATTTGAAGGATCCAACGTATCCCATACCTATACCCATGTCATGTCATATCCGACACCGGTATTCAAACCATTTCGAAGAGTCCGAGCATCAGAGTCATAATTTATGGTTGGTAAAGATTGCATTCTTAGATCTTTATGAGTGGGGCGCCAAATATTTGAAGTGGATTTTGAAGTGTATCATGATTGTAGATGTTCTTCTTGGAAGGTTTCATACCATGTAAATGATTAGTTTTATCGCATGGGATGCTTTTATATTATAATTCCATTGCAAGTCAATACTAATTTGATCGTAAAGCATTAAGTTCTGGAAGTTGGCATAAAGAGTATTTCTATCCCATCCACGGTCATAAGATGTGATATTTTTAATTGGGTCCAAGCTCATAGTGTAGCTAGAAATGATAGTTATTTTAATAATTACTCATTTTTAAACTGGATTTTCTTGAACTCCGATAATTTAATTAAGAAAAATGCTATGTATACACATGGACCCCCCCTCCATGTGAGGGGGTGTAATACGTTGTATACACCTCAACATAGCATTTCCCTTTAATTAAATAGCCAACTGATGCATGAAGGGGCAACAATAGGTGATGAATATTTACATGTCCTGTAGCTGCATCTTGCCTGTTAACATACTCGCAGGAAAGACGCGCCGGACATGTTCCGACACATCTTGGAAATGCCACGTGACGTTTGTCCCTCTTTATTTTAATTTTTCCAGATCCCACACATTCGTGGACAAGGCGAACTGTGGACTGTGGCAACTTCTGAAATATTCAGAAAAACTAACCTACCAGTAAGTGCAACGAAAAAGGACCATTGCTGGCGAGTGAAGTCGAAGAGAGTTCACTGGAAAAGAGAGATGGAGAGGGAGATAACCGAACCCTAAGCATTATTTTAACATAGACGAAGACAGCGCTTGAAAGTTGAAAGCCGAACCCTCAACAGAAATTTATGCCTTCTAAAATGAAAAATAGGTAAACATTTTTTTGAAGTCGTTTCTTATTTTTAAAAGAAGGTGTGGGTCTATCACGTATGAAGTTTTAATGTCTAGTTTGATTATTTCACTGATTGTTTTTTATGCAATAAGTCTTTACACAATAAAATAAAAAAAGATAAAAATTTAATCAACATGTCGACAGTCTGTTTGTCCTTACTTTTCGAAGAATCACATCACGTTTATCCATATCGGTGCATCTTAGATTAGTATGCTGTTCTGATGTATTTATTATATGGATGTATATCATGTTTCAGGGTTGTCACATCTGGACGTTTACTTGCTAGGAGTTCGGAATTACAATCAGTTAATGATTTGATTTTCCAAAAGATACGTGCGATGCCTACAGGTTTGTCTATTACCTTCTGATGTACCTTTTACTTCTGCTCCTTTGAACGGAGCCGAGGTGATAAATAGCACGAGAGACCTGATGAGTTTCTGCAGGGAACAAAAGATCGGGCCAATTGGTAACATGTCTGCCTACTGAATAGTGACATGCTCAATAAACTACTGGCATTGCATCCTGGACTCAATACTCAAATGAACAATAACCAACATATGATTGGTCGAAAACCTTTGACTGGATCAGCGCAGGGTGCTCTTGCATTGACAAACTACCAAAATATGTTGATGAGACAAAACTCGACGAACTCAAACTGCTTCTCTTCAGCAAGAGGCATCATCTTCTTTCAATAATTCTAACTTAGTTCCCAGTTCTACATTTCGAGGCTCATCCTCGGGTAATTTGCCTGGAAATTTGCAGAATTTATCAGTCGGTGGCTTTTCTAGTTCTCATGTACTACGGCAGCATCAACAGCTTGGTAATGGCTTACTGCAGCAAAATCGACCACAACCTTCCCAAAGCAGCCAAGCTTTACAACAACAAATGATCCAGCAATATATACAGAATATGAGCAATAACGGTAATGGAAGTCGGGTTTTACAACAACCCATCTCTATGCAAGGTCCAGGTGGCAGTGTAACGGGGGATGGACCTGGATTTAGAAACACCATTTCAGGGGCAACTGCTCCAGCTGCAAATGGACCAGGACATGCCTTCGGATCTACTCCATGCATAAGTAATACTTTCGAAACTGCTTCACACAGTGAATCTTCTGCTGGATGGATTCAGCCTAAAAGAATCTACTTCACCTTTATCAGGTGAAAATAATGGATTCAGCCAAAAAGAATCTACTTAGGATTCCTTCAAATCAATCCATTTCTTATTGTTTTTGGTTAACTGAATTTTTTTGGGATTCTTTGGCTTCCATTATTGTACATTTTCACAAATTAAATAGAAAGCATACACTGGATGGATAAGGAAACAAATAATCTAATTCACAAGTGTATCCAAAATGTACCTACAGAAGGGACCAAGCCTCGATGATGAAAATAAAAAATATTTGTATACATGATATTCATTTTTGTCTCTAAAAAAGGTAACGAGTGAAACTCACTTTGTAAGCTAATTTTTCCAATTAGATAGAGACTGCTAGCGAAAAGCAGCAATGTCTTCCTTAAAGTCTGTGAGGAGGCTCTCAATGCTCTTCACAGAATGATTGGCCTTGTCTCTCACCCGAACACTTACCTGAAAATAAATAATTTTGAGAAAAGTTAAAGAGTATAAAAATAATCAACACAACGTTTGATGAATTATGGAAAGATAGATAGATCAATTCTAATTTTTAACTGTATAGGGTTGAATAAAAATTCAATTGACCATTTGATATAATTGCTATGCTTAGAGTTACTCATTGGTTTTTTAGGGTTGGGATTCAACTCCAACATAAAAATGTGCATATAATTCAGTACAAGAAAAAGTTCACCAGAATAAATTCAAAATTTTTTCTAATAGAACCTTTTTATCATTTTACTGTTTTATCTTATGATGTCACAACAAATGATTGCATTTCTATTTTTTGTTATCCCAGCAATGGCAAATTATTTTCCTCAATAGTCAACACTTGTCAAGACACGGGATAATTTGTAGCCTGTCACTGCTTATCAATACAAGGAACAATTAATTGGTCGATAAAGCTTACAAGGTTAAAATCATGGCAACAAAGTAATAAATGTCACACGAATGAATATAGTCGAAATCAAGGAAAATTTCCACGAATGAGAATTCAACTGGGACACCTCTGCCTTTCAGATAAAGAAATAAAACACTACTAAACAAATATGATTTTTTATAATATTATACACAATGGCAGATTCTAACCTGTCCAGTGTTCACCTCCTCTTCACCAACCACCAATATATAATTGTACTGTGCCAATTGAGCTTCTCGTACCTACAAGAATCCACGGCACAAGTTGGTACACAACAAAATCTTGTACACGAGACTTCCTAAAATAAATGTTCTATACGTGCATCTGTAGCAACAGGCAAATTTCTTTATCAGGTCTATGAGTTAGTTTTTCCAGCTTCACGGTATTTTATTATTCCCAAGAACCACCGCCACACCCCAACCCCGACCTGTAGCTCAAAAATGCTTTAATATGGTTAGCTGATGGAAGTTATGCTTTAGGCTTTGGAGGAAAACCTGGACAGTGCTTCAACTGTCCTTAAACATTAATTTTTAATTGCTCAGCAAAATGAATACTATTCTCTCATCCCGTCAAACAGAGTTTTCCTCCAGGACCCTAGCATGAGCTGTATAAACTTGAAAAGGAGAAATGACGTAAATTTTAGCGGCCTGTGTAAAATTGTTATAAGATCTCTAGTCCGTCCATCATCCTTCTCAACGTATTATGCTGTCCACAAGGGCAGAGAAAAAATAATAATAGTTCTTTCAAATTTTGGTCAATAAAAAACACAGCAATGGAAATAGAAAAAATCATACAGGGTCCATAGTTACAACAATTATGCAGGGAAACTTGGGATAGAAAATTTCCATAGCTCACCACAAATGATTGCAAAACCTTACAAGCACGTTTAGGAGAAAAAAGAGATTAATATAATATTGATAATTTCATGAGCATTATTCCTCCCAGAACAGGACATCAGAGCAGTTGGAACTGTAGCAAATCAAGATTTGATGGAGTAGCTCTAAACACACCTTTTTCTGGATTGTTCTGTCACTTGTATCAACATCAACATAGAAACCAGCATCATGAATGTGGTTTCTTACCTACATTCAACAAGACAAGAATTTTGGTGATTTCAGAAAGTAATCTATTAAGACAAAAAACATTCATGACATGAATTTAAGGAAGACAAAACCAGTAACATGTAGTTTATGCTATGCTTTAGGACATATCTTTACACCATAGTGATGATAAGCAGTGATACATTTCATGATTTCAATAGAAGTGGATTTATCTGCAATCAAACGATACTGCAGAATCAACTTTATATCTCCTCATTCAGAATTTGCTAGCTAATTGAAACTATTTTGACTGCAATTGCTCATATAATATATCAATATTTAAAAGACTAAAGGGCCGCATTATCAAGCAGGACAACAGTCACTATAACTGGCATCAAAATATGCATCATTGATTTGAAAGCGTTAAGCTATATTACATCACCATCACACGGATCTGGAGAAAGAAAGCAACATATGTATAGGTGAACAACTAACCTGGGGAGAGAATGAAAAGAGAAAACGGCATGTATTGAGTTCATCTATGGGATCTTAGCAGGGTAGAAAATCATAGGAATGAAAAATTAATAATCAAATCAGAAGTCAGTCTACAGAGAAGGGCAAAAAGCACTTTGCACTTAACTCACCTCCAGTGCATATGACTGAGACTTGTCAGAAACAGGGCAAACAATTGCCTGGCGCGGACTAAGCCAGAAAGGCCATTTGCCCTTGTAGTGCTCTAAAAGAATAGCAAACATTCGTTCAACAGAACCAAGAATGGCTCTATGTATCATAACAGGTCGTTCCATCTTGTTTTCATCTTCAGCTGAGTAAGATAAGTTAAAACGAGCTGGGAGTTGAAAGTCCAGCTGTAAAATAAGTATTTATAAGTAAATTGACACAATTTCATGGAAACCAGAAATTGTCTTATATTCTATGATTGCAAAGTAACAAACCAACCTGCAATGTCGCACACTGAAATTTTCTTCTCATCGCATCAGAAACACTAATGTCTATTTTTGGCCCATAAAATGCCCCATCACCTTCATTTATCTAATAACATAGATGGCAGATCTGGAAAGTAAGTTGCGATAAAAAAATAATAATAAATAAATAAATACTAACACATTTGTAATGACCAAAATAAAAATACTTTGGACTAGCTAATGTGACAAAAATTTCCTCAATAATTCGTAAGCAAAGTATATTATGCAATGAGAACGTATTAATATCACATATGACATTATTCACTAACCTCCCAGGGCTTTCCAAATTCGTCCAATGCTTTTGCAAGAGCATCTTCGGCCTTTTTCCATGTTTCTATATCTCCGAGATATTTTTCCGGTCTCTGCGACACTTAAACCATGTTAATTCACTTCTTTTGACTACAATTTTTTGCTAAACCCTCACTATGAAAGATGATTGGAATTGTATGCTTAATTCTATGCAACGTGAGTTCTTTTAGAAGGTAAAAAAGATGGAAAAGTACTTAAGCAGGTATAGAGGCACAGGCAAAGCACTGATCCATTAAATATTATATGTACTTAACATCAATTTGTTCCAAAGTCAACAATATTAACAGAATCCCAGAATGAACAACCAAAAATCCATACCGTAGATAATTTCAGGTCAAAAGTGAAGCCAAATATCTTATACACAAAACTGATGAATTCCAAGACGCCCTTGACTTCATCTTTTATCTGTAAAATCATATAATGCGTCAAACCTGCCTTTTTGAATTACAAAGTGCAAGCTGCATACCAGAAATCTTATCTCACCTGGGATTCCCTGCAGAAGATATGAGCATCATCCTGTTACAAAACCATTAGGTTAGAAAAAAATAGCATACACCAGCCACAGAAGAAGACTTGATTGACATAAATGTACAAACTACTAGACCAAGATATTTTCCTTAGATCCAGCCAAATCTGAAAACTACAGGGCTTTAAAATCTATAGGCCCAAAGGAAACCAACAGCAATGAGGCAGAACATAACTACAAAATGGCAATTTGTGCACCTAATGCAATTGATTGTTTTTTCGTCAAAGACAAGTATGGATAAACAGCAAAATTGTAAGTGACAAGCAGTTCTGATCTACACTTTCGCCTATTCAAATCTTGTAAGTATAGACCTGCTGGAATCTCCTGACACGAGTCAACCCAGTAAGTGCACCACTGGCCTCATTCCGATGCAGGACACCAAAATCAGCTAGGCGAAGTGGAAGTTCTGCAAAATCAAACCGTATTTTAGTGTTGGTATATCATTATATATAGGCTATTGACAGCCAAAAGCCAAAGGGAAAAGTGAAATAATTACACTAGAGAAAACTATGAGCACAGCAGCTCCACAATAATCAGTGTCATATATAACATAAATCGCAAAAGATAAAAGAAAAAATCAGACAAAAAATCACACGAAACAGAATAGTGGCTTCAACTTAAGTACAAAGGTACATAGATGCTATTAAAGAGATATATAGCAAACAATAAAATAAACCCACCCCTATAAGAACGAACTCTGTGATCAAATATTAAACAATGGCCAGGACAATTCATGGGCTTTAGGCCGAACTCTTGTTTCTCAACCTGCAATAGAATCCAGAAATACAATTTTGTTAAACTTGGCAAACTAACACAATCAGTACATTGTTACTCTCTAAAAACAGCATTTAACTGCATTATCCATTAAGGGAAAAGAAGGAAAATATATGTTTCTGATATAATCCATTAAGCTCTTCCAGGTTGCAAGTTTGATTCAGAAATAATAGTTAATTATAAAGATAACACATACAAAATATGAGAAATCTACCCCATGGAAATCTCAGATCAAAGCCAGTTATCCTTCAATTCAATACACATACAATGCCATCACAATTTTGACACGAGGGAGAATATTAACCTCAAACACAAACATATTCTCCTTGTAGTTTGCAGCATGGCCAGAAGTTTCCCAGAGCTGCATGTTGTACATGTTCGGAGTCCAAACCTGCAAAAATCTAGCAACAATTATGAAATATTTTCCCTTGCATCGTGTATCAGAACTACAACTTATGAAATAAGCTAACTTGCCTCTTCATAGCCTCTTTTCCAGTACTGGTTTCGTATGAATTCTAACAACTTGTTGCAAACACGTGCACCATGAGGAAGGAAGAAACAACTTCCTGGGCTAAATTGCATGCAAAACGAAAATCATCAACAATCCTGACAAGAAAAACGATAGCTAACTAGCATCTACTCTTACCTAAGTGGGTGAAAAAAGAAGAGCTCTTGCTTCTTAGTCAATTCTCTATGATCATATTTCTTTGCTTCTTCCAGCATGGCCTTGTATTCCTGCACGAATAATATGTGCTCAAGAACAATTAATTGCAATTTAATATAACTTAATTTTTTTTTAAAAAAAAAATCAAGTACAAATTGTCAAGAAGCACGGTCAAAGCCAATAACTAACAAACTACTTAGGAATGAGCCAAGATAAATACAATTTTAACCACCAGCCCATACATGATGTCCAGTAAAGCAGGAATCTTCAAGGACACAGAATTTCAGACATCTCAAACTTCAATGCCAAAGAGAATTAAGCATACAAGTATTGTGTATCTAAGGCATCCAAGTAGAACCAGAATATAATATAGTCAGGGTATTGATGTTAGCGAAAATGCAAAGAAAGGTGAATTTCATGGAAAAAGAAGAGGGGAAATTGCATTTGAAGCCAACCTTTCAATTTCTAGTCAGAACTCTTACTGCCTAACTAATGGTCCCAAAATGAAATACAAGAACTATTTGAAAAATTAATTAAATACTGAGTTACATCTGACCAATTCCACACAAAAACCTTTGGAAATCCTAGTTTCTAAATATAGATCGCACACAAAAAAGATGCAGTTTGAAGTTGGGAAATAGCTGAAAACTTTCCAATCCTTGGGTCATCCAAACAAAATCTGCACCATCCACCAAATCTATTCGGCTTAATAAAACATAAATCTGCTGCATTACATCACTAAATTAACCATTGATTGGATTCATTATATAGAAAACCAATATTTGGTGAAAGACAAAAATAATTTTCAGAAAAAAGAATCGAGTTGAGAAGAAGTAGAACAAAAAAAATAATAATCAAGTTAGAAGGTAACCTTCAGACGCTTTTGATCTGGATAAGATATGCCATAAACTCTTTGCAAGCTTTCACGGTCTTTATTTCCACGCCAATAGGCTGATGAAGCCTAATTTCACCAGGTACAAGAACAGATAAATTTAACATTCTATACATGCAAATATACATTCCAATGGAAGGAGCTAGATCTCACCTTCAAACAACTAAATGCTTTCGCAAAAGATGTGTTTGGTATATGTGGTCCACGACACAAATCAACCAAAGGACCACATCTGTATACTGTGATAGTTTTGTCTTCAGGTAAATCATTAATTATTTCAACCTTATAGAAACAGAAAGAACACAATGAATTAATGCAATATAACAGCGAGGAAAGAAAAAGGAAAAAAAGGATGAACAATTCATTAGAAAAGGAAACATATCAACCTTGAATTGGTTATCAGAGAACATTTCTAGAGCTTGTTGCCTTGTAACCTCAATACGCTCAAAAGGTTGTTTCTCCTGAGGCAATAAGGGCATTAAATGTGAAATTGGCATGAAACTAAACAAAGAAAATGCAAGACTGGAAATATGTTTGTGGAGATTTAGCTCTAGGAAAGAACAACAGTTACGTGTAATTTTTTGTTTATAAGTATAGAAAAGCTGGTAACACAGGAGGACCAAAATAGAGAGGATAAGATGTACGCATTGAGTAAATAAAAATCCATCATTGCAAGTTGACAGTTCCATTAGCTAAATTAGATTTTTGTTAGATGCTAACTGAATCACACACATTATGTAGATATGCATTAAAAAACACGAGATATTGCAAGTAACGTAACTCCTAAGATGTCTAACTTAATTGAGGAATCTATCTGAAAATGGTATTCTCCAAATCATCATACCAATGCAAACAAATTAAAATTTGATAACAAAAGAGAATCGAGTGTACTTTCTTTCAAATATTGTTCTAAGACAACAAATATGAAGAATAAAACAAAAAGGCAAAGAAATGATGTGATTACTAATATGATCATGAGAAACAAGTGTCAAAATTGAATTCCAAATCATCCAAACCAAAAAAAGAATATAAATGTTACTTCAACACCGCTAGCGGCAACAATGTGGTTAAGAATGTGCAAATCAAGTAATTTATTAATGAGTGATTTCAGATGAGGAAAGAGCCATACATCAACAGTTTTCTTTGCTGCTTCTTCAATTTGTTTAAAGTGGTCATCGTTCAACCCCAGTTCACCATAAAATGCATCATAATAAAATCCCTGCCAATCATCCAACCAATTCATGAATATTTGAAGAAAAAGGGATTGTATAATGAGTTGAGTAAATGAGAACCCTTCCAGAAAGTAATTAGAATATAGAGCTGCTCAAATACAAATACTTTACCGGTTTAACTTCACAAGATATGTGAATCAGCATACAGTGAAAACTTACATTTTATTATTATTATTATTATTTTTTATCTAGGCAACATTCATAATTGAATAAATTAAATTTATAAAACAAGTGAATTACTAGCTGATTAATATATGATCCAACAAAAAGATGCTAATGGAATGAAATGCTCAAGTTTATAAACCCAATTGCACGCATCCTCCTAAATGGACAACCTGAAACCAATACCAATGGAAGTTCTACTCCATCAAATGTGTGCCCATAGGGAAACAGCAAAAAGAAAGTAACTGGAAATGGTTAGTCTGACTAAAAGCTGAAGGGACACTTGGACTCACCTGGAAGACTCAAGAAAACTTAAAAGTATTGAAACAGTGAAATGAAACATGGATACCATAAAAGAAAGCATATCAGTATGCAAAGATCTACAATCTAGTCCACATTATACCCAAAAAAAGAACCATCAAAATAATGTAAATATGACACTAAACTACTACCTAAAGAAATCCAGGAAAATTCATAATACATTATATAAATTATTTTAGATTAGCATTTTTCAGGTATTCTATTTAGGAAAATGCTTCTTGTACATAAATATTCACATAATGTTTTACATAATGATAATGTGTCAAAATGTAAGTGGAGAAGTTATTTGATTGATGAGTTTTTGATCTAGTTAAATCTCGCCACATCATTTGTTGGTAAACTATAATGTAAATTTTTATGTACATGTAGTATAATCGTTCTAGTTATATTTTTCATGAACTAGAAAATTCCGCAAAAGAAAGCCCGCTATCCAAAATGCTGAGAAATTAATTTTCCTAACTATACTTCAAAAATCCCTTGTAAGATTTTCCATTCTAGACTTAATGAGGAATCCAGAAAAAAATATAATGCTAAACCAACAATTGCGAAACTCACATGTAAAGATATCAAGTATCCCAGTTGGTGCAGTGTTTTTGCTTTCCACACACTTCACTTTGTTAGTTAACGATGAAAAACAACCTCATAAATTTTTCCTAACTTTGCCTTCCATTCAAACTGAAGTATAAACTTTAAACTAATAATCTGTATATTTGAGTGCAATATTCATTTACATTACTACCAGATTATACTACTAACCTATTGGCAATCAAAATCTACGCCCCTACCAATTTTACAAGCTCAATAAGATCCCCCAAAAAAATATCAATCATTAAAATTTAGCTGGCATTCAATAAAATGAATAAAGATGCTTTCACCTCTCCTCTTGTAGTGCACGGCCCAATGCACAGTCTGCATCCATAAGTCACCTCCAACGACTGTAAAACAACAATAACATACAAGCAATCAATTAATTCAATTCAATATGGAAAAAACTTCATTGAAACTAGAACGAGTAGTGAGCTTGTGTACTGAACCTGGCCAAGAATGTGTGCGCTGGAATGCCAAAAGGTGTCACGGCCCTCATCACTGTCGAAAGTGAAGAGCGCAAGCTTACAGTCACCTTCCAAAGGCCTATGCATGTCCCACAGAACCCCATCAACCTTTGCAATCAAGGCATTTGACGACAAGCTCTTTGAGATTTCTTTGGCCACGTCAAACGGTGTCGTATTCCATTTCTTCCCCTCCTTCACTTTCCCGTCCGGCAACACAATCCTATCATATTTTTCACCAAAAAATAAAATAAAATCAGAAAATATAAAAAGAAACCAAAAAGAGGAAGGTGAATTGGATGGCAATATAGTAATTATGATTACTGAATAGGATCAGGAGAGAGGGAGAGGCGTTGGATTCTCTGCTGGCTTTGTATGGATTCAAACAGGGATTGACGTTTGGGGATGACTGTTTGGAGATAAGCTTCGTCTTTGGAGTGAGGCGGCGGGGCGGAATTGGGATTGGGCTTCGATTTGGCGGCGGAGGGGTCGCCCATTGTTAATGAGGAAGGTGGCGGCGGAGGTATTAAGAAAGGAGATGAGAGGGAGGCGCCACCGGCGTGCGGGGAGCATAAAGATTTTATAAAATGAAATGAGGGATTTTAGGGGTTTCATCTTAGAAGGGAATTTATTCATTTAATCATGCCTCAAAATTAAGCTAATAATTTACTCTGAGTTACCTCTATTCTATTTTGTAAAATATATAAAATTTTAAAATTTATATTTAGAGGGTGTCTCACCATTTTAATAAATACAAAATTGTTGTAAAATGAAAGTTTATTTAAGTTTAGAGGTAAATGATAATTACACCCCTACAGTCCTAAAAATAATTACTGTTGTATCCTTAATTCTGTCCTATAAATACAGTGATTTGATTCTTAATAAAATACACATAAGTCTATTAACTTCTCTCTGTTCTCTTTTCACAACACGTTATCAGCACGATAACTTAATTTTTCAAAGTTTGGTGAAGTTAATCAAATGACAAACATCACAAAACTTGAGTTTGATGTACTTGACATCTCTAACAAAAACTAAATATCATTGTCACTTGACGCTGATATCCATCTTGTCTCAAATGATTTGGGAGAGAATAAAAGAAAGAAACAAAGAATTCGTGCAGGATCGTGCAAAAGCACTTATATTCCTTCGTCATCATTTTCACAATGGACTGAAAATTGAATATCTCACTGAAAAATATCCATAGGTTCTTTGGAAAAAATTAATTGAGAGATTTGATCATCAAAAGACTATAGTCTTCTCAAAGCTCACTATTAGTGGATGCACCTTCGTTTGCAAGATTTCAAAACTATTAATTCATGATAGATTGTCGAGACACATGCTTAATTGATGGTGCAACTACACATACTATTCTTCAAGATAAAAAATATTTTTTGGACTTAACATTAAAAGAGAATAATATCAATACAATATCAGGTGCATCGAATACCATTGAAGGCTCCGAAAGAGCTTGTATTATTCTACCAAATAATACAAAATTATATATTGACAATGTACTTTATTCTAGCAAGTCCAGAAGAAATTTGCTTAATTTTAAAAATATCCTTTGCAATGATATCATATTGAGACGACACAAGAAAATAATGTCGAATATCTTTGCATAACTTCTTTTGAATTTGGTTAGAAGCAGATAAAAGAAAAATTTTATGTACTCTCATCTGGCATGTATTAGACATTTATAAAATTGTTGAATCAAATAATGTGACGAACCAGAAGTTTATTGACCCAAAAAACTTTATTCTTTGGCATGATCTACTTGGATATCCACGAGTTATAATGATGCGTCAAATAATAAACAATTCACATGGATATCATTTAAAGAACTAGGAGATTCTTTTACCTAATGATTATCCATGTGTAACTTGTTCGCAAGGCAAGTTAGTCACTAGACTTTCAACTTTAAAGGTCAATATTGAATTTTCAACTTCCTTTGAAAGAATTCATGGAGATATATGTGGGCCAATACAACCACCATATGGATCATTTTGTTATTTTATAGTATTAATTGATTCTTCTACTAAATGGTCACATGTTTGCCTACTTTCCACTAGGAATGTAGTTTTGCTAGACTACTTGCTTAAATTACAAAATTACGAGCACAATTTCTCGATTACTCAATTAAAACTATTCGCCTTGACAATACTGGTGAATTTAGATTACAAGTATTCGATAATTATTGTATATCAATCGGGATTCTAATTGAACATTCAGTTGCGAATGTCTATACACAAAATGGTTTGACAGAGTCTATTAAATGTCTATAACTTATTGGTAGACCATTACTTATAAAAATAAAACTCCTACTTCTGTTTGGGGTCATGTCATATTACATGCTGTATCATTGGTTCGTATTAGATCAACTATCTATTATCAATATTCATCTTTGCAACTGGCATTTGGTTATGAACCTGATATTTCTCAACTATGGGTCTTTAATTGTGCTATCCAAATTCTTATTTCACCCCCACAACGTACTAAAATATGTCTCCAACGAAGACTTGAGACTTATGTGGGTTTTGATTCACCATAAATTATTAAGTATCTCGAGTCTTTAACAAGTGACTTATTTACTGCACGTTTTGCAGATTGTTATTTTGATGAAATGACTTTCCCAACTTTGAGAGGTGAAAAACTACATCCTGAAAAATAAGGTAAAATTATTTGGAATGAAGCAACTCTATCTCATTTTGATCCCGACAACAATTAATGTGAACAAGAGGTTGAAAAAATTATTCATTTGCAAAGAGTTGTAAATCAATTACTTGATGTATTCGTTAACACAAAAAAGTGACAAAGTCATATGTTTCAACAGAAAATATTTCAGCAAAAATTGATGTTCCCGTAGTACAATCTGTTGTAGCAAATGAATCTTAAATATGCTAGAAGCGTTGTCGACCAGTTGGTTCAAAGGACTCTGTATCTCGAAAAAGAAAGGTACATGAGAAAAACCAACCGAAAATTTCGGAAGAAATCACATTAGAAAAGACTGATCAATCAGATATTGAAAATACGATTCCTGAAAAACCAAAGTGTCCGAAAATAATGAGATTTCAATAAATTATATAATATCTCATAAATTTTGGGAACAAAATAATATTGTTATAGATAATATTTTCGCCTTTAATGTGGCTCTTGATATTATGCAAAATGAGGATCATCAACCACAGTCGGTTAAAAACTGTCAAAATAGAAATAATTAGCCAAAATGGAAAGAAGTCATACAAGCAAAATTGAATTAGTTGAATAAACAAAAAGTGTTTGGATCTATAGTTCAAACACCTGAAAATGTAATCCCTGTTGGATACAAATGGATTTTTGTACGAAAGATAAATGAAAATAATGAGATTACAAGGTACAAAGCCCGACTAGTAGCTCAAGGTTTCCCACAAAGACCAGGAATTGATTACAAAGAAATATATCCTCCCATAATGGACACTATCACTTTTAAATTTTTAATTAGTTTTACTGTATCCAAAAGCTTGATATGCGCCTTATGAATGTAATAACTGCATATTTGTCTAGTTCATTTGATAGTGACATATGTATGAAAGTTCCTGAAAGGCTTAAGGTGTCAAGAACAAACGATACATGCCTGAAAACCACGTTCTCAATTAAATTGTAAAAATCATTATATGGATCAAAACAATCAGGACGCATTTGGTATAATCACCTTAGCGAATATTTGTTGAATGAGGGTTATAAAAACGACGATGTCTACCCATGTGTTTTCATAAAGAAAATAAATAGTGGATTTGCAATTGTGGCAATTTAGATTGATGATTTAAATTTAATTGGAACTCCTGAAGAGCTCAACAAAAATATTGATTATTTGAAAAATAAACTTGAGATGAAAGATTTTGGAAAAACAAAATTTTTTTTTGGATTGTAGATTGAATATTTCGCAGATGGATTATTTGTTCACTAATCTATATATACAGAAAAAGTTTTAAAATGTTTTTACATGGATAATGCACATCCATTGGCATCACCTATGGTTGTTCGATCATTTGATGTGAAAAAGGATATATTTCGTCCACTTGAAGATGGATAAAATGTTTTTGGTCGTGAAGTACCATATCTTAGTGCAATTGAAGTATTAACTTATCTTGCAAATTGTACTCGACCTGACATAATTTTTTCTGTAAATCTCCTTACAAGATATAACTCTGCACCAATTCAAAAACATTGAAATGGTGTTAAACATATTTTTTGTTACCTAAAGGGTACTATTGATTTGAGATTATTTTATTCTCAAAAATCGGAATCTACGTTAGTGGGATATACAGATGTAGGTTATGTATCTGATACACATAAAGCTAAATCACAAACAGGTTATGTGTTTACACGTGGAGGAACGACTATATCATGGAGATTTGTGAAGCAATCCTCGATAGCAACATCTTCAAATCATTCTGAAATCATTGCAATCCATGAAGCGGACCGATAATGTGTATGGTTGATAAACATGACCCATCATATCCAAGCATCATGTGGATTAACTTCAATAAAGGATAGTCCAACAATTTTGTATGAATGCAATGCAGTTTGTATTGCACAACTCAGATGAGGCTATATCAAATGTAACAGAATAAAGCATATTTCTCCAAAATTCTTTCATACACACGAGTTTCAAGAAAATGGCGACATCGATATCCAACAAATTCGCTCAAGTGACAATGTGATCGATCTATTCACAAAAGTACTGCCAACATCTACATTCAAGAAATTAGTCATGAGATTGGGATGCATCGACTCAAAGATTTTCAGTGATCAATATTAGGGGGAATAGCTGTACTCTTTTTCCTTCGCTTAGATTTTGTCCCACTGGGCTTTTCTAGCAAAGTTTTAATGATGCAGCATTTATTTTTAGTACACCAAAATAACTGTACTTTTTTCCTTCATTTTTGATTTTTTTCCCAATTAGATTTTTATCAAACAAGGTTTTAATAAGACAAATATTTTGTAATGTATCATTCAAGGGGAAGTGTTGTAAAAGAAAAGATTATTAGGGTTTGAGGTGAATAACAATTACACCTCCGCAACCCTAGAAATAATACCGTTGTATTCCTGATTCCGTCCTATAAATACATGATTTTGGTTCTTAATAAAATACACAAAAGTCTATTGACTTCTCTCTATTCTCTTCTCTTTTCTTCACTTTTCACAACAGAAACAAGTTGTTAATAAATAAATTTTATATGACTTTCATTTGACTTTTATTGATTGTTCCTCTCTCTCTTAAAAAAATTTACAAGTAGCATCTTTCAACACTCCTTAATTTCATTCTCATTCGCTGTAAAAGAAAATCCCTGTGATTTGCCTATTAAATTTCATTCAAAAAATAAAAGACCACGTTAGTTTTAGAATCTTTGAAAAATAATTCTTATTTGTGGAGTGAAATGAAACATCGACAAAATCTTGTTTAGCACGGATTTTTTAAGAATAAATTTTTGAAATGTAATTTTTAGAAGAATGTGTAATTAGAATTTATGAATTTAAGTTAAAATTATTTTATTGAAAATATCTTTTGTTGATGATAAGTTTGAAGAAAAAAGGAAGCTTAAAAAACGTTGATCAAATAAGTGCTTAGTTTGACCTCCTTGTTTTGCCCGCTTAATTTTTTTTTGTAAACAAATAATACAAAAAGAAAAATCACTTGTTGATATAAATTTTGAATATGTTTGATGGGGATTTTGTTTAAAATAAATTTTGTGAAAGTAATATTTTAAAAATTGTGATTAAAAGTATGAAAAAAATTATGAATACATTTGCAAATTTATTTTTTACGTGTGTGCTATTGAAAAAAAAATGAAATTTAAAAAATCTGTGTCAAACAATAGCTAAAATTTAATATTTGCACACAATAAAAAAAAAAAAAAACATTTCGTATTTGATGGAACCTCCATAAACTTTTTTGTGAATTTATTTATATTGTTAGTCAAATTTGCTTTATTACTTTAGGATATATATATATATATATATATATATATGTATAATCATATTACATTTTTAATTTTATGTAAATTTACCTCAATACACAGATGTAAAATTATAGAAAAATATACCGCTCTAAATTCATCCACTCATATTTATTTTTCATTAAATTCTTTTGAACCTTTTTATATTTTTTTAGAATTTGTGTTTAACTAAAAATCCTAAAATTATCTTCAACTAAAATCTTAAAACCCTAATAAAATAAAATGCATCTTCAACCAAGTTCATCCTTTTATTTATTCCTTAAATACCAACCTTTTTAATCCTATAATGTAAGTTCTCTAGAAAAACATGACATGACATAGCATTAAGCATTTGTTTGTCAACCATTATACTACATTATATTTTCTACAGTACTCATTTTCAACCACACATTCTTCATTAAAATAATATTACACATAAACAAAAAAAAAAAATTCATTTTTTTTAACAACAAATTTCAACATCAATCACTATTTCATAATACACTTTTTGAAATTAAAGGGGCACAAACCCTGAATATGATCGAGCATTTTAAGATTCCTAGCAATCCAATAATCATTAAAAAAAAAAAACCAAAATTTTTCATTTTCTAGATCCATTTCGTTACCTATCCGTTGCTCTCTCTTAACAAATGTGAATAGGGGCATAAACCAAGTTTATACTATGAACTTGTTCGATTGTAATTATAAGAATTGATTTTGAATCCCACATGTAAATAAAGAAGTAAAAAATTACTACTGATTCAAGGAAGTAACGGTCAAAAAATTAAAATTTAGGGGTGAAAAATCATAACCTAACATGCACTATGCAATGTCATCAAGGTATTGTACTCCAGTAGGGTGTTTTCTTCCATGCATGTAGCTAATAAAGAATAATTTTAAAAACAACGCACAGAGAGGGAAAAATATTTGCTTTGAATTTAATGTGTTAAAAGAGATTTCAAGCCGGCAGACATGCGCATATACACAAGAAACAAGTGTCATTGTTAGCATTTGCTTTCTAGAAAAGGTTTAGATGAATATCGTTATTTTTTAAAATTTTGACATCCTATAGAAATGCATTTAAAGTAAGATGAATATATAAAATTTGTTTGGATTTATAGTTCAAATGATTGAATTTAATAAGAATAATATTGTGACGTGACACAAATGAAAATAACAATTCTTTTAGAATTTTAATATTCTGATAGGGATGGATATAGAGTAAGATGAATATAACAATTGTAGAGGTAAATAGCACCACCCTTACAAAAAAAAAAAAAAAAAAAACAAAAAAGTATCATCGAAAAAGGCACAAGCATGTATCCATATCCAATTAAATTGAAAACCATGCAGGTCGAGTTGGCCGAATTTTTATCATTATAAAAGCATTTCCAAAACTAAAGAAACAACACCTATACAGTACTAAGAAGATTGTAAATACTTCAGATTAACAATTTCAGCCGAGGATGTCGAATCATTTGCCCGAGGCCAAACCAATCAATTCAACCAGCTGCCATGTTCAATCTTATTAGTAAGGCAGGCAAAAAACCATAGAGAGAAATCAAAACTAGGCAAGGAACTCGTCGTCATCTGAATCAAAGTCAGGATCCAGGACCATTGGTCCAGCTCTCAGTAGCGAGTTGAGGATCATTTGCTCCCAACCCCTTATGCTTGCACTAAACCTGTGAAATTGAGGACGACAATTTGGCTCTATTTCAGGATGCTTAGCCAGTGACAAATAATGTGCCGCTGCTTCAGGATTATACTCTAACGTGCATTTTCCAGACTCGGCCATCATTTTGATATCAAATGCTGGTGAGAGTGGTCTTCCAACAGCTTGAACATGCCCGATGCTGCAAAATGGAAAAACAACTAAGACAAAAAGGCTTTCTAATCAATGAGGACAAGTGGAACAGATAATCCTGCACAAAGCCAGATACTACTAATGCATATTACCAAATAGATTTTCTACGGCGAGAAATTTCATATTAGTGTCGCAACTTTGCAAGAAAACAAGTGCCGTTGACAGGCTCCTGGTTTCTGATGCTAGCATATTTGGCCAAGCTTAAAAGTAAAAGTTATCATTTTGTTTCCAAATATGTTTAGATAAGTTACTTTTTCTTGCTTCAAACGAAAAAATTTAATTAGTTTGAAACAAACTCTTATCTTTATATCAAAATAAGTAATTCATTTATTTCCAGCTCTCATTTACAAAATATATTATTTGCTGTAAAACGAACTGATTTACTCATAAGTAAACTTACCATATATAATATAAACCATCCATTTGTTGTGTCTGAACTCTGCCTAATAGCTCGACTTGCAGGATTCCTCCAATGCAAAGTACTGGTTCTGGAAGCTTAAACTTTTGCAAGCGATTCTCCTAAATACACCAATACAATCATGGTACATAAACAATAAAAACAAAAGACAAATTCCAAATTCCAAATTTAATATAGATCTAAAAGGCCACAGTATTATACAAGTTCTTCCAAATTTATCACAATTTCCCCATAAATCTCAAAATAGTTATCAAGTAGAGTTGCAAAGATATGTATCAATCATGTCTATATTTCACTAATAGTAACACTAGAATCTGAACGATATGAATAAAACCCATATACGAACTCACTTGGGCCATTGGAAATTCCGGGGAAGTATATGTCCATAAAAACTTGTCACCAGCAGATTCTTGATGTGCTGGAAATTCATCCGTGTCAACATTTTCTACCTCCATTAGGTCCTTGGGATGCCCCATTCGGAATCTCACAGCCTTTGCAGAATATATGGGGAAGCCAAACTGAAAATAAGCTGGTACAAAAGCATTTGCAGGTCAGTACATCGTAAAATAGCGGCTCTGAAAATTAATTATTTCACTGCAGAAATTCCACGGACCTAGAAACGGTTGAACATGAACTTCAGTAATCATACACAATCTTGCAGCCAATTTATACGTTAATGTCTCGGGAACTGCAGGATTGCTTGCACCCTTACTTGACCAGTATGAAGCTCTTTGGTCGACCCTGTCACTTGATTCAAGAGTATTCTTGATGCTTTCTTGAGGGTAATTATCTGTGCTGGATGCAACTATAGCATCTGATATGCAATCTTTCCACGTGAACAAGGTAAGACTTCGTGTCAAGAATGCATACACCCTATGATCTCTCTCAAGGCAAACCCATTCGGAAGAATCCTCCTTCCCATTATCCAAAGGTTCAATTGTGTTTTTAACTTCAACAATGTTAGCAAAACTTGATACCTCTGGACATGTCCTTACACAAAGCTGCTTACTCAGGCCATTAGCAATCACTGCACGTAAGTTTTTAAAGTCAGCAAAATGAGGTATCATAAAGCTTTACAAGATGTAGTTCTCCTAGGTTCCATCTCGTGGAAAGAAGAGGACAGTAACAAGAAAACCACACGATCATCTTCCTCATGCATAGTTAAGAAAACTTCTTAATGTAACAACACGTAATTATGGTTGCAAGATGTTTAACTGAGGGTGCCTCACTTATTCTAATAAATTTTACATTGTCGTACTCCAAGAAGATTCTTGTCCTTAAACTAATATGATTTTTCCCCCCTCTTCTCTATGCAAACTAAGAAGCACTCACTAATCACTGCAATTATTTTTGACATTATAATTATTACTATTTATGGTACATCCTCGTACAACATGTTAGGGATTAAGCCCTAACGCCAATTATGAGAGCAATATTAAAGAACAAAAAATCATAAATACAAACAATCGAACACCATTCATAATACCAATAAATATCATAAGCATGCAACGCATGCCTCGGTGCTCTAGTAGTGGTCAATAAAACATAACGTTAATTCATTTCTCAAATCATGTCGTGCATGCAATAATTTCAACTATGCACATATTCCCTGCATGCATGTGGAAATGCTCATGAGTTGCATGCTCGATCAAAACGAATTCAATATGTTCTGAAACATCAATCCAATCATCGTAACCATCGTAAGAAACATACTAAACTCATTCTCCAAGCCATCTTAAAGTCACGACAGTATTAGATTTATGGCTGTTCACCTTCAATATGAGAGATAACTCTACTCACAGCTATAGATTTTCACGATGAAGAAATAGGATACAACGGTGCTCTCACATCAGTTTGTGTCTCTCATAAAACGATCCCCCTAATAATTCAAGGAATACTAAAGCTACTTACCACGTGTATGAAATAATTGAGTGTCAAGGGGATAAGCACATAGTATGGTTAGGGTCTCTAGTGCAACATGCTGGATAGTCCCATGTAATAAATTTTCTGTTTTTATGTTCATTTAGAACGAAATAACACCTTCTGTAGATGGAGAAACTTAAACAGCCATAGACATAAATCCAATATAACAAAAAACCAACAAAACTGAATGCTATATAAAGTTGCATCATCACAAATGAACATTAAATCAATAACAAAATATGCGATTTTTGTCTAGTAATCACTCACCAAATTGGCGCCAAGAGAGAGAGACGGCACTCACGCGAACAAGATCAGAAGGGTCATTTAAACTCGTAAGGATCTTTATAGACATGTCTGATCCAAGATACTGTATAAAATCACTACCAGCCTCCATTCTGAGCTACTGTTTTACAATTGGTATTTCAATTTCAGATCACAGAAATTCAGATGATCGTTGACCTCGGCCTTCGATCCTAAACCCTCAAAACCTAATCAAAATTGACACCATCATTAACCCATTAGATATGCGTTTAAATCTCAAACTGAATAACAAACACAATAATGCATAAAATCAAGTAGAGAATGATATGTCATTTCAACAAACACCTTGTGATCAAAATAATTTTCACGCGCATATACAAAAATCAAAAAGAGAATGACAAACAGAAAACACGAACCTCTGCACGAGAGAATTGATCTAAAAAAGAGTGAGACCCAGAATAATGAAAATAGAGAGAGAAAGAAGCGAAAATGATTATGGCGGCGAGCAGGCACCGAAAGCCACAGCTTTTCTTATTCTTTCCTTTATTTGGGCTCTGTTCGTTTGGATGACGATGAGCAAGCAGAAAAAGAAGAATCTGGAAAAACTATAATAAAAAGGGTACAAAAATCTTCATCAAATGGTTTTAGCATTATTTTGATTTTTTTATTCAATTTAAGCTGGATATTTTATACGTGATATTTGTACAGGATAATGACGGAGCTTTTCATCTTGTTGATTGGTTGGAGTTATGCTTTTCTGGCCTGCCTCCACGTGTTGTTTCGAGTATTACTTCTAACCTACCAATGTAGCACGGCTCATCCAGCCCATTGTTTGAGATCCATTTTACGGTTAAAATGTATTTTAAAATAGTATTTTGTGTGTGAAATTATTTCATTGGTTGAAAATGATTTTTCGGAAAAATGGGAGCCAAACATTGGCCAATAATGCCAAAAATCAATCTTTTTTGCTTGGCATCCATTTACCAAAGGATAATTATATTCACACCACATTGTTATTGCATTTGATGTTCTTAATATTTACTCATCATAGCACGTTTTATTTGGTCTCGATTCAACTATTGCATAGCAAACATGTCCTTGAGTTCATAATGACCACCAAGAATCAACAGGCTCCAGCTAGCAAGAGTTTATGTGCTGGTGCGTTGGAGTAATTGTACCTGTTGGGAAATTTTTACCATTGGGGCTTGGAGAAAAAAATTGAGCAACAAAATATCAAGAAGATGAAAATGAGTAGAGAATGAAACAAAATATGAAGCTCAAACATGAAATTAATATCGTTGTTCTCAAACAATATTCATCCCCTCTTAGATATGTTTTAGGTGCTTAAAGGGTCTCGCGACAAACAATTTGTAGGATTAATTAAATCTTGCTGTAGAAAAATATAATAGCACAAATATTCTTCTACCCAAACTTGAAGAACACAGAGAGAGTGTATGAATATGGAAGAAAAAATGAATTTTCTTTATTGTGGAATGAAGTTAATGTAATTCATATGTTGTACTATTATTTCAATTTTATTTATTTATTTTTACTGTTTTTTTATTTATTTATTTTTGTGATGATCATCAAACACCTATTTATAGTCATGAAATATTACTACACGAGAAGGAGCCAAAAGGAAGTGAAAAACCGCTGAAATTTAAATTAAAACCATCCTCAACGACTAAATGTTTCTTTTATACCCTATGCGACCGCATAGGTCATGAAAAACCGGGGACTTTAGCCCCTGTTATGCACCATGCGGTCGCATGACATGTTGGCCTATGCGACCGCACGGTGCAATACTTTGGCTACTCAATTCTGTCTTCATTCCATACGCCGTTTATTGATCTCAAACAACATTTTTCATCAGTATCTGCATGATAAGACTACGGTTATACACTGCATTCTTCATGGCTTCAAGTAAGTCAAGAAGCTATATATATCCACAAGAACAAGTAGGAAATTACGACTATTTCCTTTTCACGGTAGAATTTGATAATTGGAAAACAAGTGAAATTTATAGCTGCATTCTGTCCAGCGAGGATTTGTGAATTACTCATCCCGTACCTCCTTTTGACACACGGGACACTTCTGAGAGACAGAGAGAGACATAGAGATAGAATTATACTTCAATGAAACGAAGTTGCTTTCAAAGTAAGTAACCATTTTTTACTTAAAAAGAGAAAGAAAATGGTAACTTATCCAGACATGTATGAAAACAATAAGTTATTTGTGGTAACTTTAATTTATTTTTAAGCTTAGCCAAACACAAGCAGCCTCTAAAGATGTAAATTAGAATGGATCATAATTCTTGAATGAAAAGACGTAAATAATGAGTACCTTACTGATTTTCAACCATCGAAGAATACATACTGAATGATAGATGTGTGTACAAGGCAAAGTGGTCAGTCGAGTCCCGTTTCTATATTTGGCAGAACAAATCACACACCTAAAATATAAAGATAAGAAGACAATAAATAAAAACATAATTTCCTTTTTCTGAGTGACGCAAGAGACATAATATCAGGAAGAGAAAAAGAAAATGATGATGCAAGAGAGATAAATCCTTGGATACTTGACAGTAACAGTGGCACTACAAATCATGTAAGAATTATGTTATTCCCAAAATGTAAATAAGAACAAGAAAGCAAATAACTTAAAGAAAAAGAAAGGTCACCAAAAAATATGACGAGTGGATTCTAATATGCCATGTATCCATCTTAATATTCACATTCTGCAACATTTATCTTATGCGCACTTTGTCCTCTATCAAGCTACACTCATTTCTGTAAAAATAGTTTATCAATATTCGTTCTTTGGAATTGTATTCTTAACTTCATTGTTATATTCTCTTCACATAAAAACCATGCAACACTCCTCCATTTGGTCTAATGACTCCAATCTATTCTAATACTATCCATTAAATCTTATTCAAGTCCTTTACTAATAACCAACCCTAAATACCAAAAACAACTACTTTGAGACAGCATAATCATCCATTGTGAATCCATTATTATTGACTAAAGAATAAACTATTTCGTCTTAGTTCTACTCAATCTAAAATTATATTCCAAAGTGCTCACCTGAAATTCTAATTTATGATTTATCCCTTCCTAGTCTTATCCATTAAAAGTATGTTGTAGGTGAATAACTCGTATAAAAGACCCCATCTTGACTAGGGTTAACCTAAATCCACCCATTCATGTCTTCTCGAAGACATAGCTTCTTACATATTCTAATGCTACTTGAGCATACACGTTAATAACACTAGCTCGACGACAGTATACTATTACTCCATCAGGTCAATATATGTATATCGTGTGATGTGCAATGATACACATGAACATTATACATGATATCACAGATCATAGGTCAGTTATTTATGAGTCCTAATAATGAATGTGTGTTTTAGTGATAGCACAAATATATTTTAATAGAACACGCAACATATTCAACAAACAGATATTTGGGGTCGTAGGTTCCTACTCTTCCTTTTCCCTTCTCTTTGAAAACAACCCAGTTTTGTATTTGAAACTTGGCAATCGTGAGATGAGGTCTTCTGAAAGTCCTTTGCTCTCATGTCCAACAGCTTCCCCTAGTGATTGCAGTTGCTAGCACAATGAAACAGGAGAGAATCAGATAGAACATAAAAGAATGCATATGCTAATAGCCTAAAAACAGACTAATGGGTATGATATGTACATTTGGAGCAGGAATGATACAGTAAAAATGAAAAGACAACAAAGAGGGATGTTTCTTTGCACGCAGTTTTCTCAGATATTTATTCCTTCCTCTTCTTCAGCTTTGTCTGGTGCGAGGGCTTTGGAGTGCATGAGCAGGGTGTAAAGGGTCCATTTTGGCCCACTTTTTTATAGATTTCCAAAGCTAACCGTTTTAAACAGTTTGAGAAAAATCCAAATCCAAACCTAAACCAAACCATTTAAAACAGTTCAAGATTTTCACAAATCTAGACCTAACAATTTGGTCCAATTTTACATTTTCTAGCAAATTTAAAGTTTTTTATCTTTGTTTTAAACTGTCCAATTTGATTTCAAGCCGCCGTTTAAATTTTGAAACCTAAACTAAACTGTTTTAGAGGGATTTGGTTTACTTCAAAACCATTTTGTAATGTTTATCAAAAGTTTCAAAAAAGAGATTTTGAGTAGATTTTTCCATTTGACGGTTTTTGTTTACTGCTCTAAGTGAGCTTCCTGAACTCTGTGCATGCTTGGTATGCAGATACAACTGGAGTATAATAAACAAGGCTATAACTTCTTTCCTTTCTTACTGCGATCTAATCCTCCCACCAATCATGCCACAAGTCACTTTGACATATTCTTGTGTATAGAGACAATAAATACATTGTGCTTCTGTTTCTATTAACAGCTTTTAATAAATTTTTCCAACGTACTTAAATATGCTGTGTAAATTGACTCAAATGACTAAATATATATGTTACTTCATAGTTTACAAGAAACTACATTGAATTGAATTGAAAGACAATACATTATAATTATTTCACACTCACAGTTTGAAGCATATATAACCACATCAATAAGTGGGAGAAATGAGAATGAATTCCATGAAGCAGAAATCATTAAAGCAAAGAATTTAGTTGAGCACAATTTTTTATGCCGATTATGCAGTCTACTCACCTCATAGGTCATATTATCCGTATCAATTTCATCATCTCTTATGTTCTGATTCACAGTCTGCATTTAAACAAAATAATAACTTAGCATGAGGTTTACCTCATGAAATGTAAGTACAAAGCATAAAGAATGACAAAGTAGCATCAGTACCCTGACAGGTGTTTCCCTAGGAGTCGATCCTCCGCTCTCTGTAGATCAGTATATAGGTCACTTCCAGCAGTATATAGTGAAAATGAGAAGAAATCCATATGGAAATGGGAATGATAAAATTTAATACATTTAAGTATATAATGTTGTATGCATATTGGTTTAACTATGCAAGCCTTCTTGTCTTTATACTCGCCTTCGTTAAACTTTAAGAAACATTAGTAAAAGAAAATCGATTATCTTCCTATTTACATCCTGATTCAACTTGGGATTTTCTAGACTGGTATCCTAGGCTAATTCTGCTTTTAACTGAATTTGAGTCTCTTCTGTATCACATTACTATCAAAACAGAATGCAGCAAAAGAACTTTTCTGGGGATGGGTTTGGTATTGTAGAACAGGGGAGGAAAGGAAATTGTGGATGAGAAACGTTTAATGCTGTTGGTAAAACGGGAATATAGGAGACAAAGAAAATGGGTATAATTCATTATCCATTCCATCCATTATTTTAAATCAACCCAGTATAAAACTTAATTCCTCTCATTTACCCTACTTCTTCTCACCAAACAAGAGAGAAAAAAATAAGATTCATTTCCCATGGTTATATAAATTTTCCATTTCATCCCTCCTGCAGAACAAAGGCTGATGTATTTATTTTTCACATTAATATTTTTGTGCATTTAGTTTTCATGTTAATTTGGCTCTACGACTCTTGACCTCTAGCCTTCAATAACATTCGACAGCCTAGGAGTGTTTGTTTTAATTTACAAACAATGAAAATGAATACAATCTAAAGCATCAGAGAAGCAAGAGAACCCACACTTATTTAGCAAATATAAGTCAATCTTGGAGAACAAAATGTGCAGAGAAGTTTCTTTTACAAAACAGAAAGACAACAAAAATTAGCACTTTGACCAATTAAAGAATTTCCATATTGCAGAATTTAGATGTATTGTCAAAATCAATTCCTGACTAGAATATAAGCAGAAAGACTATGGGAATTAATTACCAGCTGCAGTACCACTCTGCTCAGAAATATATAAATTGTCAAAATCATCTCCCAACTCCAAGGACCTAGCAAGGGCTTCATCAAGGGCCAACTGTGATTCAACACTTGTGCCATATGACGATTCACCAGCTTCTGTTGAAAACTCACTCCTGTTACTGGTTTGACCATAAGCAGAGGTGGTAATTTCGTTCTTTCCATTGGCTTGAATATACATGTATGCACTTTCCTGGGATTTAACAGAGAACTATCAATAAGTTACTTGACAATAAAGAAACAGAATACAGACTATCATGAAAGCATGTATTGATTTAGACCTAACAGCTTATCACAGGACAAATATTAAGTAAAACGGAATAATAAACACACAAGAGCAAGCACTCAGATTTATAATAGTTCACTCTCAATGTGAGAGCTATGTCTCTCATCGCAGCACACTTTTCACTGTAATGAAGAAGAATTACAATAGCGACCTCGCATCTCTCAACCTCTGTGTGTGTATAGCCCAATAGAACACCCAAAAAGTCAAAAGTCGTCTCGACGGCTCTCATGATGACTGTTTGGCTCTGTGTGTGCACGGTGCAGTTCAGCGCCAAACAGTCCATTGTTAATATATTTGTTTCCTCCATCTGTGCAGGAATTTTCTTCTGGCTCCACAATCCAACACTATCCTTAGCTAATTTGACAATCTCTAACACTACCCTTAGATAATCTTAAAAAGAAAGCAGCATAAATTCTGGAATACCTGTTGCAGAAGGACTTCTTCATCATCAAGATCGCCAAACTCGGGAAAGATCTCTTTCAAATTTTTAGCAATTTCATCTGGAATTGTACTACTCAAATAATGTTGAACCACCTCATTGTTACTCATTGTATATGTTTCAGACATCCTCACAAAAAAAAATGTATACAAATTCTCTTCTTTAATGCCCCCAAATTTCCTAATTTTCTGAATAAAAAAAGAAAAAGAGTTCAGAAGTAGCAGGTGAAAGACTTGACCATGAATCGAGTAGTTTAAGACTAGTAAATGCATATGATATTTCTAAGAAAAGATCACAAGATATTTTCATATTGTGTTTACATTATATGATGACATATACACACCCATGCAACGAACATGACATAATCTTGATTACAAATTATTATAATCGTTTACAATACTAAATTTTTATTATGATCCTTAACCTTTACGATAGCTGATGATAAGGGTAGGATTCGTTAAAATCAGAAAATTCATAAAATCTTTTAGGTAATCGTGAAGTTTATTAGGGGACTAATAATATCTCAAAATGAGAACTTTAGTTACCTATTAGGACATGAAAATCTTTTTAAAAATTTAATGACAGTGTCAACAATGAAAGAAAAATTATAAAAAGTATGCCTAACCTTGAAAACTAATTACCAAACAATTCACAGTTTTAGAATCTTACATTACAATTTCATTTGAAATGCAGGAAATTGTGTAGGAATTTACTATAGCATAAGTTGGAAATTATGAACATTGGCATTTTTTTAGTATCTCCGTCATTAGAGTGAGAAAGCAATATAATTATATAAAAGAAAACAGATATATATGCATGAATAAACTTATGTGAATGAATAATATTTAGAGCTGTTAATTTGACCAATCAAAGTCTTTGTTCAAGCTTAAATTATAATATAAAACATAACTTGTAAGGTCATTCTCATCAACTGATGTAGACACAAACAATATATTTCTGTTAAATTGAATACTTTTAGTAGAAGATTTCAATGAATTGAGCAGAAATTACAACTAAATACACCGGGAATGTCTCATCAAATGACCCATTATAGATAAATTTAACAAAACCAAGAACCCCACAAGTTAAATCATAAGAATTATTAATGCATCCAATAAAGATGAGAATTTCTTGTAGATATTATGTAGAGAAGAATCCATTATATTAACCCGAATTTAACCAGAAAACTTGAGCAACAATCTGAATTGCAGGAAAAGTAGAGATAGAAATTACCTTTCGATGAAGATGGTGAGAATGTGAGCTGGGTTTTGATTTTTCCTCCACCTCTTTCTCTCTCTGTAACTGCAAGTTTTTTAGTCTTAACTCAAATGAGAGTGCAGTGAAGCAGGAGGAAAATGCTATTTAAAGATTTTTTACACTTGATATATTTTTTATGAGGAAATTTCATCAAATGTCCATTTTTCCATTATTGCAAATCGTTGCAAAAATGTCCAATTTGAAAAAATTTAGACCAAAATATTCTTATTAACAATTTTTAATTCCACACTAAGACAAAAAATGGACATTTTTGCAAAATTTTTATTGACGAATAAAATTTTGATACATAACCTGTCATATTTATTTCAAAAGTATACATGTCAAATCACAATAAATGCTATATTTTTTGTTGACTCAAAAATGTCGAGAACGATATTTTCAAATGTCAAGAAATGTTATATTCAAAATAAAATGTCATTCTAGACAAATGAAACGTTCAAATGTCGAGAATGACATATGTAATGTCGAGAATGTCTCCGTGACACGGAGGCAAATGTCGAGAATGTCTCCGTGACACGGAGACGTGATTTTTTTATTTTTTTTTAAAGTATCATATTTTTTGTTTTCACGTTATTTTTTTAAAGTATTATATTTTCTTTTTTTTCGTCAAATTTATTTTAATGTAACTTTTCATGGAAGTCACTTCTCAAAATTCGTGACAAATTGATAAAAAAATCAAATGTCGAGAACGACATTTAAAATGTTGAAAATATCATTTCAAAATGTAACTTTTCATTAAGGGCATAATAGGCAAATTGACACTAAATTCAAATGAATAGACACTTTTCAACTCATACCCTTAAAATTGGACATTCTTGAAAATGCCTCATTTTTTATTTAGGGGTGTTTGATTACATTTATTTTTTTATGAAAAAAATTTATTTTTCATCCGAATTTTTACTTTGGGTGTTTAATTATTATTTTTTTCATTAAAAATATTTTTCAACTTTTGAAAATATGTTTAATTTTTCTTATTTTTAAAGAAAATATTTTCTTTGGAGAGGAGGTGATTTTTATTTTCTTCAAAACAAAGAAAGCATATTTCTTTTTAAATGCTATTTTTTATTCCAATCAATCACTCTCCTAGTGAATTAGAACACAGTAATTTTTCAGTATGTTAACTTTAATTTACAACTTACTAGTTTAATACTTAAAATTAGTCTCCCAATATTTTATCGTTTGATAATATTGTAGTTACCATGTGAGTTATGAGATTTTTAAAATAGCAAGGCTATTTCATTATTTTTTTTTTCGTTTAAGAATAAATAAGTTAAGTATTTAAAAAACTTTAATATAGGTAAGGACCAATTGATTTGTGTTTCAGTTTTCAATTTATTTTCAGATTTTTCTTGCTTTTTAAGGAAAATAAATTTCTTTGGTTTTGGTGGGAATTGGGTTTTCCATCTTTTTGTTTTGTTTTTTTTTTTGAGCAATGGAAACAAATTTTATCCCTTTAATTCACAATTTTCATGAAAAATAAAGTCAAACCAACGTCAAAAGTTCCAAAATTTCAATATTTTTCAAATAAAAAATTGTACCAATCAAACACATTTAATTGATAATTGTTAGTAAAATAAATTCTGGGCAATTCAATTCCATGAAATTCGTTTGCTTTCCTCCCAAATTTCATTATTGCAATCAAACGGACTCTAAGGGTCCGTTTGACTGTAAAAATGGAATTAAATTGAATTGAAAACAAATTTCAGGGAGTTGAATTGCCTAGAAATTGTTTTCCTGTAAAATGTAAATTATTGTGTTTGATTGGTATAATTTTTCACGTGAAAATTTTTGAAATAAAAGTATTTTTTGGTATTTGTTTGGTTCTATTTTACATGAAAATTGTCAATTAAAGTGATAGATTTTACTGGTATTGGAGATAAAACTTGTTTTCATTGTCCAAAAAAAAATTCAAGAAAATCATTTATCTTTTGATATTCGTTTGGTTTTATTTTACATGAAAATTGTCAATTAAAGAGAAATATTTTTTTTTTTTACAATAATTCTTAGAATTTGTTAACTTTACCAATAAAAAAAGCGAAAAAAATATATATATGCTACAGTAACCGGGAAAACCAATTTCCCTAAAAACTAAGAAAATTTCAAAATTCAAGAAAAGCAAGAATTGAATTCCATGGAAAAATATATCCATCAAACACCGTAAAAGTTGGAAAATGTTGTTGAAATTCCATTTTCCATGAAAAATTTGGATGTATCAAACACACCCTAAATGACTTTGGTGTAGGTTTGAACTTTGAAGCAATGTCGACGTACCCAACGTATGATCTAATTCATTATATTTCAGTATTCACTATAAAGATAGGTAATTTGTCTCTCTATTTTGGGTTTGTTGTCAACCTCTGTTTATGAAAAGGCAACTTCTATTCAACATATTAGTGAAAAGAAGAGTAAGAATAACAAATTATGGTTTATTCTCGATGAATTTAAGTTGTTTTGATTCGTTCATTTCTAAAAAATGTGGCATAGGTAATGATAATTTCGTCGTTGATGCCCTTATTTTCATTGGTAATGGCAATTGCTGATGAAAAATTTTCATTGGTGAAGTCGCCTCGATAATTTACTAACAAAATAATAACATTATTTTCCAACAGCTACAGCCAACGAAATGTTTCCATTAGTAATTAGTAAGAAACTTCGATAGGTGTTTATATTAATATATATTTTACTATGAATTAATATTATTTTTAGAATACGAAAACTAACAATAAGGTACATAAACTGCAAATAAATTTATTCCATTCCATAATTTCAAGGTTCAAAACTACGTGAAGTCAAACAAAATTATAACAATTCAGATTTTCATCAAAGAAGAATAACTAGACAGCACATGATGATTCCACCCCCAATAGAATTTTTAAATATATTTTTTAATTTTTTTGTAAGCCCCTGTTTAATGCTCATTAAAAAGAGTTTATTTGAGAAAAATGAGTTTTGAAATAGTAATTTTTTAAAGAATGTGTGATTAAAAAGTAGGCAGAATTGAGTTTATATGCAAAATATTTTATCGTGAAAATGTACGGTTAAAAAAAAAAAAGGAAAAGAAAAATGTTATGAAGAATGGCAGAGAAATAGGGGATAAATTAGAAAATGATTATTACGTTCACAAAGAAGTCTTATGTAGTACCAAATCTTGAAATGAAGAAAAACATAATGCAAACACATAAATTTATGGAAATGGGATACAAATGAACCACATACGTAAACGGCATATAGATAATTTACGAAACCAAGCCTTCTCTATCTATTGTAGTGTTCAACGTTCACACGTTCAACATAGTAATATTGTGTATGCATACTTGATTAAAGAAACATGTTTTTTGATTAATAAATCTATTAAAAACTACTCTCTCCGTCCCAATTATATAAGTTTGTTTCGTTTTTCACACGAATTAAGAAATTTTCTTTAATGTAATTGAAAAATTAATTTTTGTCAAGATCTTTCATAATTTACCCCTATTTAATTTTCAGTATGTAGTAATAAATTATTATTGGAATTAGTAAAGAATTTGAATGATTTAATTCGAAGAAGAAATGAAAGTTGTTCCATGTTTTCAAGAAGTGAGAAATGTATGTATTTCAAGAAGTTGACATATTAAGTGAGGAAAATTAAATAATGGTATATCGGTAAAGGAACAAAACAAGATATTCTAAAATAGAAAACATGCCTATATATTTGGGACAAGAGAAAAAGGAAATTCATTTTATATAATTGGGATGGAGGGAGTATGAGATTGTACAAGTGTCACACCAATTGGATTGCTCAAATTATTGTTGCATGCTAAGGCAATTTGGTAAAAAAAAATTTTGAAATTGTGAATTTTTGGAGAATGTGTGGTTAAAAAGTAGGAAATTTTTTTATGTTTGCATGTAATATTATTTTATTAAGAGAATGAGTTTAGAGAAAAATGTATTATTGAAAAATGAGGTTCAAACAAGGGCTAAGATTGTGACGACTCAAACTCTGTGCTCAAACCATCAACTTACATACTGTCCACATTAGAAAAGCATAAGTTTGACATTTTTCAATTAACGTATTTTTATTTACAAGCTAGGCCTTGTTTGAGCCTCATTTTTCCATTAAAATGTATTTTTGAACAGTGATTTGACATCATTTTAATTATACATTCTTCAATAAATGATATTACATGTAAATTCAAAATTTTTCCTTATTTTTATACCATACATTCTCCATTATAATACTATTGCAAAATACATTTTTTGAAAAAAAAAAAAAAAGAAAAAAGAAAAAGAAAAAGGAGGGCTCAAACAATCCCTTAATTTTGAACAAAATATGTGAGTTTACAAAGATAATGTTGGAAGAGAATTTGAGAACGAGCAAAATTCATGGATTTCGTGTATTGAGAAAATGGTCAAAAAGATACTAAATCGATTTTGAATGATTTTTAAACCCCCAAAAATTAGTGCCCAAAAATGTCACAAGCATTGATTTTTCCAACCTCTCTCATGAACAGTACCATACAAAAAGGGTCAAATCAGTCGGGAAAAAACTACCCAGCGGGCTTTCATGTGCTTTCATATTACGAGCATTTTGGTACAATATTTTATTGTGGAGTCTACTAGTTTTTAAACGAAATCAATATGACCATTTATAGAATTGCCACTTATGAATACAAAAGGTTTACTTTTTTCTATGCAGTTCATAATAAAAATCAAGTTTTTAAAATGCATAATGCTTGATAATGCTGTTTGATCGAGCATCAAGCATTATAAGAATATTCGTGCCTATGCAAAGTATATACGTAATGATGTTTTTCCAAATTTTAACAATATTTTACATATTCTAAAAGAATAAAAAAAATAAAATAATGCATTATTAACTTAGTACATATTCTTCAAATTTTTAAAAAATAAAATAAAAATATATTGCTCAAAATCTTAAATATTGCAATTACTTGAACTTTATACATATTCTTCAAATTTTTAATGAAAACATATTGCTCAAAATCGTAAATACCACAGTTAATTAGCAATCAATTTCTATAATTAGTTTAGACACGAATATCAACTTAAAAAATCTTAAATATTGTCTAACTGTTTATGGGATTCTAATTCAAACTCCTCTTCATGCAAGTCATCTTCTGTAATCGATGTAAGGTCATCTTCATCGAGCTCTTTATTTCAACTCGAAATTGTTAATTCTTGTAGAAAGTAGGATATCATTATTAACTTTCCTCATCATCACGGCCATCAACAATCAAGTTGTTCATCAACAATCAAGTTGTTCATTACTAGCATCACGTACAAGTAAAACTAGAGAAAAGATCGAGGAAGAAGGAGGCTCGGGCTGGATGTAGATAGTTTGCAATTCTATGAAAAAAATGTTTTGATTTTTGATTTTTTAAAACTTCAATACCCTACAAACTACTGTATATAATTCATGGATTTGGATGATTTAGGTTGATTTGATGTTTGTTGGGTTCAATTCACCTTTTTAAGTTATAAAAATGGGTTGGACTTTGTAGGGCTAATCTTGATACAATTTTTAACAAAAATGCATGGACATTTTGACATTTAAGCTTGCATATGTGGTCAACGTTATGGGTTAATCGCATTATCACGTGCATACTCTATATACGAGACGTTTCGATCGAGCATATGCAAGTATATGCTAAGCAAAAACACTAATAAAAACATGGTTAAGTATTTTTAAAAAATTAAATTATTTGTTTCCCATTTTTGTAAGAATGAAAATAAGAAATATGGTCGTTAGTGTCCCACACAAGAGATAAAAATTTAAATTTGATAACTTGATGTAATGGATAACGGTTATATTTCTCATTTTAATGAGGAAAGAATGGAAAACAAACGCGCAATTTTAGTAAACTTTTAATTAATATGCTATAAAAGTTTAAATATGCGTTTGATTGGCATGAAAAATATTTTTTATTTTAAAAAATAAAATGTTTTCTTTGTTTTAAGGAAAACAAAAACTACTCCCCCGCCCCAAAGAAAACGTTTTCCTTGAAAGCAAGGAAAATGAGGCATATTTTTAAATGTTGAAAAATATTTTTCACAAAACAAATGACAATCAACACTGCAAAATTTGGAATTCAAGTGAAAAAAAGACCATTTTTTATGAAAATTTTTTCCGTAAATATTTTATTTCCTAATGTATCTAGATTAATTTTCTCTTTAATAATAGGATATTTCGATACTAGCAACAAAATGACTTTTTAAGTATGATATGACATTATTATCGCTCGGACTTTTAACTTTTGTTTACGAATTTAAGAATGACATCATTATTACTAGATTAAAAGCTATATAAAGATGACAAGAATATATTACGTTCTTTTTTTATAGGAATTAAAATTAGATTTTTAATAGATTTTGATAAAAAAATTTAAAATTTGTGGCTGAAAATTATAGATCCTATTAAATATGTGATTAAAATTAATTGTTGACTTTGATTTAAATTAAAATCTATATTTTAATCCCATCAAACAAGAGTTACATAGAGACAGAGTATAAAAAATAACAAATGTTAACATTTTATCGATTTATTTCAAACTCAAGTGCAAAGAAAACATTTTTCGTGTAACAAAAACACAAATCTTATGAGCCAAATTTCAATTTGGTTAGTCATGCAAATGTTTACAACTTTTTACCTACAAATAAGAGTGGAAATCCCTAAAACACAACAATCCCTAACTAAAACACCAAAAATTCTTATTATGGCAGCAATAACATCTGTATCTTCAAGCCCCAAATGGCTAGTTTTGATGTTCATGGCATTAGTTTTTCAGAACCAAATGGCTCAATCTCAGACACAAACTTGTTCAAATTCACTTGCAAATCTGAATGTGTGTGCACAATTTGTGGTGCCTGGTGCAGCCAACACCAGCCCTAGCCCCGACTGCTGCACAGCATTACAGGGCCTGGAACATGACTGCATTTGCAATACTCTCCGTATTGCGGCTCGTCTTCCTGCACTGTGCAACCTCCCTCCTCTCTCTTGTGGTGGTTAATTCGTTCTCTCTCCCTCTTGCTATTATATCACGTTGTACTCGATAATATAACAAAAATTATATTAACTTTTCTTCTGATTTACGATTGTATATACTGTTTAATTCGCTCTATCAAACGTGCCATATAATGTGTAATATCTATTTTACATTATTTGATTAAAATGGCATTTATTTATTGATTTATAATTTGACTATTTCTTTGTGCAGCAAACTGAGTAGCATTTGCTGAGGACTGCAGAATAATGTCAAAGATGTCCAACCCCCCCCCCCCCCCCCCCCCCCCCCAAAAAAAAAAAAAAAAAAAAAAAAAAAAAAAA